CAGTGCAAGAAAGCAAACCACCACTCTAATTTTCTTCCTGGTCTGCTATGGACTAGACCAGGGGTAGGCAAGTTCGGCCCTAGAGAGCCGCAGTCCTGCAGAGTTGTTTTTCTTCGTTTATTTCCTTCTTCCTTTGTTTTTTTTTCCTTTCTCTTCTCTTTATCCTTTCCCAAATTTAAAAATAAAAAATTAAGCAGAAAGACTCATCTGCCTTTTAAATAGCCAATAGGCTTTACCTGTTGGTTGAAGGCAGTTGGAATTGGGGGAGGGACATTCAATCAAAAGAGCATCTGATTGGACAAAAATCTGTGCAGTGCAGGATGAGTCATCAATGTTTTTGTTTCCAGAAGAAAAGGTTAAGACATTTAGGGAAGTCGTGGCCTAATGGTTAGAGAGTCTGACTCGTAACCCAAAGGTTGCAGGTTCGAGTCTCGTACCGGCAGGGATTGTAGGTGGGGGGAGTGAATGTACAGCGCTCCCTCCCACCTTCAATACCACGACTGAGGTGCCCTTGAGGCACCTCAACCCCCAACTGTTCCCCGGGCACCGCAGCATAAATGGCTGCCCACTGCTCCGGGTGTGTGTTCACGGTGTGTGTGTTCACTGCTGTGTGTCTATCACACTTTGGATGGGTTAAATGCAGAGCACTAATTCCAAGTATAGGGTCACCATACTTGGCCACATGTCATGTTGCTTTTTTTTCCATTTAAAATGCATTTATGAGCTAACAGAGCTGGGTAGATTGCTTACAAATTGTAGTAATTAGTAAACAAATTGTAATCACCTTCTGCCATTTTGGAGAGTCCCCCAGAACGTAATCATGGTAATCAACGTTGTTTACGTTCAGTAGAAAGGGCGCGCATGCTGAATGTAAACAGTGCTGATTACCTTGATTACGTTCTGGGGGACTCTCCAAAATGGCGGAAGATGGTAACTCGGGGAGAAGAATTGTTGAATAAATTATGTTATTATTGTTTTCTTTGCGCACAAAAAGTATCCTCGTAGCTTCGTAAAATTACAGTTGAACCACTGATGTCACATGGACTGTTTTACCGATGTCCTTACTACGTTTCTGGGTAGGGAACATTGCAGTTGCGTTGCTGTCTATGGAGGGTCAGAGAGCTCTCAGATTTTATCAAAAATATCTTAATTTGTGTTCCGAAGATGAACGAAGGGCTTACGGATTCGGAACGACATGATGGTGAGTAATTAATGACAGAATTTAAATTTTTGGGTGAACTAACCCTTTAATTAAATCGTAAAAATGTACAATTAAAATAAATTACTTTAAAATAACAGCAATCAAAATAAAACATGAAAATGAAATATTTTATTGGTTTGCCTTCATGTCATGCAAGCATTTTACAAAGGAAAAATTAAGATGAAAAAGAATTAGGTAGAATCAATCAATTACAAATAATTTATTGCTATTGTGTGAATTTATGCAAATCATATAATCAATAAAACCGTAACAGTAGTCTGATTAGGAGTATTTAAAATGTAATATACTCTAATTATGAGTACTTCAGATTACATGTAATCGGTTACTACCCAGCTCTGTCAGCTAAAAGTATCAATATTTAGGAGCATAATAGCATATAAATTGACTGCACAAAACCTGTTGAAGAACGCCAAGATCCTACAACAACTCGGAAATTGCACTCAGAAAACATGGTTATGAGTAGAGCCCGACCGATATGGGTTTTTTTAGGGGCCGATACCGATATTAGGGAGTAAAAAAGGTCGATATATTGGCCGATATTCTGTGTGTATATTATAGTACTGTACCAGTCAAAAGTTTGGACACTTTCCCATTCGTGTGTCCAAACATTTGACTGGTACTATATATAGAATACAGTATACACATAATCAGAATATATATACAAACACATTTTTTGCAATGATCACTCAAATGTGGTGATCAAACACTCATAATGACGTGACAAAGATATGTAATGATGGAGGCAGGGCATTTAACAATTTAACAAACTTTATTATCCAAAATGAGTCTGACATCAGTGCACTGAACAGTAAAGTTGAAGTTTATTCAACTTTAATTCAATTCAATTCCATTCAACTTTATTCCGTTGAAGTTTATTTCACTTCGCAACATTCATTCACGGATTTGTGCTACTGTCTTCACACACAGACGAAACATACCAGAGAAGTGTGAAATGTGACATAATATACCTCTGTAAATAAATATAAATTCACGTCTCACGCACTTTAATGCCCTTTGAATGTAACGTGTACGTTCCCTTGGAACTGGAATCATGGCGGAATATCATGTGAAGTCCACTTCGCAGGGCACTTACGGTCGGAATAATACAATGCTTGAATGCTGCTGCCTGAACAAGAGACCTCCTTATTGAAGGGATCCCCCGAATTTGGTGTAGATTCGCCGCGCCTTTACGGAGATATGGCCGTTCAAAGTTTAAATGGTTTTCCAATTGACTTAAGCTTTAAAGTGTTTCATCCAGGTCGCCAGTAGCAAACAATGGAGCACGCTCTGCTAGTAATTACACCATTTCAAGAATTTTATCTGTGTTATATGTTCTGTAAAAAAAAAAAGTCATATTGGCAGCATATCGGCGGCATATTTGCCGATACCAATATATTGGCGACAGGCTCATATCGGCCAAACGATATATCGGTCGGGCTCTAGTTATGAGCAGAGGAATTCTTGGTAATGACCACACTCAGTCAATTATTAAGGAATGACAGTACATTTATGCCCTCATTCAGCTGACAAATTAGCGAATTCCACTGTCTCACACGATTTTTAATTTTTCTCCCTTCTTCACACTTTTTCTCTTTCACTCTTATTAACACATGCTAAGTATACATGAAGGGTGCCCGTTTGATTAGCAGAGTTCATCTTTTGCTGTGATGCATCGGTCTCATTTTCCATAAAAAGGAGATCAAATCTATCACAACATTCTCATCATGTGAGACTGAGGGAAACGAAATCTAGCACCTGATAGGATATGACCCCTCCATACACCTTCACAAGTGGGCGACACCTCAGAATCACACCTCCTACTGGTTTTCTCAGTATACTGACTGCCCTCGCACAGAGAGCTCAATGTCAGGCCAAAAAACTTCTGCAAACTGCGGCTTTTCTCCAAGGACTTAAAAGCGACAATCACAACCACTTCCTCTTTCGCTTCTTTAATTTGTCTAATAATTCTATATGTGTGCAGTAGATTTTTATTAAAATGTTAAGAGGATAGCTCGACCAGAATTAAAACATTTCACACAATTTTCTTATTTTCATATCATCTCAAACCTGCATGACTTTAGTGGAACACAGGAGTTGTCGGGTAGAATATTCTGCTATAAAGTTAATTTGGAGTTAGTAAGATTTTCTTTTTTCTTCAAGAAATTACTTTTTTTTTTCAGCAAGGATGCATTAAATTGACAAAAAAAAAATTTAAAAGCTGTTCTTTTGAACATCTAATTAAAAATATTCTGAAAAAATGTATCATGGTTTTCCCAAAAATATTAAGCAACAACTTTTTTGCACCAACTCCTTTGGTGCTTTTTCTTGAGCACCAAATCAGCATATTAGAATGATTTCTGAAGGATCATGTGACTCTTCACATGAAGAGTCAACTCTACCATAAAAAGAATACAAATTATATTAAAATAGAAAATTATTTTAAACTGTAATACTATTTTACAATATTAAGGATTTACTGTATTTTTGATCAAGTACAGCCTTGGTATGCATAAGAATTATTATAATTTTATTTTTTTACTTATCGACCCCAAACATTTGAATAGTAGCATAAAATAAACACTGTCAAGCCCTGCACTACATTTGAAGCCTTCAAAAAAAATATTATTGCTTTCTATGGAGGGGATGGCATAATTTGAATTAAACAACTTGAACTTCTGTCTTTTAGCTATCATATGGCTACAGTTGATTTGAAATATAGCACACAAGTTGTTAAATGCATTAGCCAGCTTTTTGTCGGCTTATTGAAGTGCACGAGTGATATGTGACAGGAACGCATCGATGGTGTAAAGCGCATCCGAGCAGAGCGAGCATTTTGCAGGACAGAAAGAATGAAATGCATCACAAACGCAGACTCTCTCACGATCCAGAAAACTCTAAAAATGTGTTGGACTAGTTTTACAGTGCTTATCTGTCACTTTATTCAGTTTGTGTTTTTTTATTGTACAGAAAAGAGCGGTATAAACATTCGACCATTTCCTCTCGTGTTGCACAGTAAATAAATAGTCATATGGGTTCAGAATGACATGAGGATGAGTAAATGATGACAGGGTTTTAATTTTTTGGGTGAACTAATCCTTTAAAAGTATTGCATAATGACAGCGGTTCAATTTGACAGACTGTTTAACTACATCACCGCTCGCGGCTTCAGTGTCAAATCCGACACTTTTATCGGTGATCTCTTCATTTAAAAAACAGATCAATAGTATTCTCCTCTCAGCATGCATCAATCATACCCAAATTAGCAGTCTGATCACTGTGGATGAAAACCAAAGGGATGATGCAAGTCTTTTCACTTTCAAACCAAAAAAAGAAACACCAAACCAAAGAAGTTCAAGCACCCCAACCTGTTCAGACCATGTCAAACCGTGCAAAACTTTTCACAATGACCATCAACAACTTAAACCTTATATTTTCCTGAATGTTGTTTGCAAACAAATCAACCTGTCCAAATATGCACTTAAGTATTTTTCAGTTGAAAAATCGGACTCACACCCACTAGTTTTGAGCAGGCGAATAATCGTTCAGAGAAATGGAAAGATGTATAAGAAAACACATGAGTCTTGACACGTCTGAAAATACCACACGTATAACGCAAGAGTTGCTGAGCCACTAACAGGTAAGCGCAGATCTTTAAGGGAGGGAGAGGGAAAACTGTGAAGCAAACAGCTGAGGGAAATACAAAACATGTTTATGAGACTGAACTGGATAGATCTATAGATCCAATCATACATTTGACTTAATGTACACCATTATTTACCTTATATACTTGTCCATAGGTCCCATTTCCCACGAGCTCCACCAGCTCAAATATGCCCGCAGGGTCCTGAGGGGAGAGCATAATAGAAGAGGAGATTAGCTTGCATTATCCTGTCATTGAACATCAAGGAGAATCACATATACTGTATACACTGAGGTCATCATAAATGCTGACACTGCAGTCATTAGACCTAACAAAGCATGTCAATTAAAGTTAAATCTGTTTGCACATTGAACATAAAAGCCTATTAAGGTATCCAGTGAGCCAAAGCCAGAAAATTAATTTTGAAACAAACACTGATGCTAAATTACGTCCTATTTCCTATAAAAAGCCAACAAGACTGAAATCAAATCACTCTTGTCATTTTCAGTTAATAAAACTAAAGGAGTTACCAGAACTGTCAGAGTTCAATTCAGCTCCAACAAGCATGATCATCTTGAAAATAAGCATGACCAATAAATAATGCAATACACCTAGAACAATAAGCAAGACATGTTGCCATGGTAATCCGACAATAGCTGCTATTCATGTCACCAGAAGGGTAATTTATGAAATATGGTTCAGTAAATTCACAAAAACATGCATAAACAGCTTAAGCTGAAGATGATGCTGGTGGAACATGAAGGATAGATACAGGTTCATTTAGATGAATATAAATGTACTGAATGGGATTTTCAGAAAGAACAACGTGTGCGTAGAAAAAAAAAAATACAATGGCAATACTATGGTAAATGGTATCTTGGAGAAAGGTGTTATTGAAAAAGGTTAATTTGTTAGCCCTTATCGACAGCCCTGACTTGAAGTGCAATAATGGCACCTGCACTCTCGATCAATGAGAATCTCAGAGAGGCGGGTCCAATATACTTTGGGAAATCCAATTGGCTGTATTCCCACTAACTGTCAAACACTTTTTCTGGTAAGTGCTCTAAATACCCTAGTACGTGAATATGGAAATCATACAGTTTCATGGAATACACTCTCGTATATGCACACGAAGACTGACACGGAAGAGAAGAGTCGTTGAATTTGGTTTTATTTTTGCGCACAAAAAGCATTCTCGTAGCTGCATAAAATTAAGTTTGATCTGTTGATGTCACATGGACTATTTTAATGATGTCCTTACTACTTTTCTGTGTCTTGAACGTGGTAGGTGTGTTGCTGTCTATGCAGGGTCAGAGAGCTCTCAGATTTCACCAAAAATATCTTAATTTGTGTTCCGAAGATGAAGGAAGGTCTTATACTGTAGGTTTGGAACAACATGAGGGTGAGTAATAAATGACAGAATGTTCATTTTTGGGTGAACTATCCCTTTAAAAAGATTGAGGGCCTGTATATGAAATAAAAGCTGTTCCTTTTAAATTTATGTTAGTCGAAGAATCCTAAAAAAAAAAATGCATCACAGTTTCCACAAACATTTAAGCAGCACAACTGTTTTTGTCATTTATCATAATTTTTCTGAGCAGCAAATCTGCATATTAGAATGATTTCTGAAGGACCGTGTGAAATTCAGCTTTGTCACAATAGAATACAGCTATTCTAAATTATGGTATTTCACAAATACTGTTTTGACTATTTTTGATCAAATAAATGACGCCCTGTTAAGCTTAGAGCCTTCTTTCAAAAACATTATAAAATGTTTAAACCGCACTGTATGAAGTACTATTTGACCTTTGGATATACTACAAAAATCATTGTCTTATATTGTTTTCCAGTAACACAATATCTAACACCGTGACATCCCCTAAAGTACTTTTTTGCAGTATTTCATCTGAAGACTCAAGAATCATTATAAATTGCAGCCAGAAGGAAGTATGCCTGCCTTGGAACGGCCGGAAAATAAACATGAATTTGCAGTAAATTAAAAGCACATGGGTACAAGCTAAAAGTGGAATGACACAGTATTGTCAGCTCAGATTCTTTAAAGGTCCCATGACATGCTGCTTTTTAGATGCTTTTATATAGGCCTAAGTGGTCCCTAGTACTGCATCTGAAGTCTCTTTCCCGAAATTCAGCCTTGGTGCAGAATTTCAGCCACTACGAGCCAGTCCCACAATGACCTTTCCTTAGGACTTGCCATTTCTGTGTCTGTAGCTTTAAATGCTAATGAGGAGGAGAGAGGCGGGGCAACTGCCATGCTTCGCTTGTTTGCAAGCCATGATGTCTCTCGAAGGAAAAAAAATAATATTGCGCTCGCCTCGCACGGTAGTAGCTCATTTTCTCATGGGCGGGCCAAATTCTCTGGGCGGGCAAAGCAGAGAAAGGGGAGGTAACCTTTCCCCGTATGACGACATAAAGGGAAGATTCCAGATTGGGCCATCTGAGCTTTCATTTTCTCAAAGGCGAAGCAGGATACCCAGTGCTCGGTTTACACCTATCGCCATTTCTAGCCACTGGGGGACCATAGGCAGGCTAGGGGAACTCATAGTCATATTAATGTTAAAAAACCTCAAAGTGAAATTTTCATGCCATGGGACCTTTAAAAGCACGCGTGAGTTTTAACACCCAGCCACAGAGTCCGTGTGGGAAGAATTAGGTCAGCACAGTGCTCGGCATTTGGACAGAGACTTTACTCTCAACGTCACTGCTGATGGTTGTGAGACCCAACGGAACATTACACACCTGCACCGTCACCGTACCTGCAGGAACATCATCTTCCTGTGATTCTTTTTAAATAAACACTCACGTATCTATCTTACATAACTCGTGCATGTGCCTGAACCTGCATGACACTTCGTTCCTGAAATAAGACTGTGAAAGACTCTTTACAGAGAAACAAGCTGGAGAACGGAAGGGTGTGTATATCCATGCTTAACATAAATTGAGACGTTTGTTCACTCGAATAGAATGTTTTGCCTCCAAAACACATTCCTACAGATGGACAGGCATGGGGAAAAACTGCTGACCAAAATAAGACCACCACATTCTGCTTACGAATGTAAAGATGCTTAAAGTGGCCCATGTTTCTCCAGGCATTCAGCAGTTTTAAATGATACACGCTGCTCCAACCGTTTCAGAAAAATAACACAATGAGTCAGACTATTTTTTAAGAAGCAAGTTCATATTTCTCATGAAAGACACCTCAGGCATCGGGCTAACATTGACAGAGTACACCAGCACTCCATCAGTGCAAATGCAGCGCACACTGTATTTTTCCCTTTCAAATTCCTCAATAAGCTAAGCACTGAACCAAACCAGCCAGCCTTGAGATGATACATTATTAAGGATGATTCACAACAAAATACACCTGAAAATATGAAAAAGGGACCATTTGTACTGTAAAAAAATTTAACTGGATAAAATAAACATTTCAATTTAAAAGGTTTTTTTAAAATATATACTTTATTAGTTTAATATAGAACAAAATAATATTTTAATGTTTTTGAAAGAATGCAACGTACCAAAGCTGCATTTATTTGATCAAATTTGATCGTTAAGTCATTGTTTTAATATTAAATTAAATTTAAAACAAATGACAAAAAAAGTAAAATATTTACACAAGTTTGGGATTGGTAAGATATTTTTTTATTTAAAAATTCCTAAAATATTGTTTTAAAAAAATTAGAATTCAACAGGTATGTAAAAATGCAAATGATACTATACTACTTTATGGCTTCTACAGGAACTTATTTAGTTCATAGTAGGTCTATCTTGAAAGCTTTAAATGTTATTGTTAAAAATGTAATTTCTCTATGGAGAAAATGAATAGGAATTTACTAGGATTTGCACAAATTACAGTGTCTAAGAATTCCCAGATTAAGCAACAAAATACTTGCAACTTCACAAGGTGGAAACATACTCTACACAAATGCAGACATTGGGCTTGACTCATGCATTGAGAGCGTGCAGTTTTGTACTACATACTTAGTGAATTCTTCCATTACTGTCACAGTAACAAGTACTCAACCACAGAGTTGCTTCAAAAGCCATTAAACCAGTATTCAGGTTATTCAAGTAGATTCTATAAGCACGTACATTTTATCTTGGTTACTTTTTAAATTGTTGCTCCATTATAAAATTAGTTGACCTAAAAGAGTAAAGTAATTTACAGTTTGCACTGGGAACGCAACTTGCATGTTATGTTATGAATTTTGCTCAGACACATTTCAGACACATGCAACAGCGCATAAAACATAAAAGAGTAGCATTTGCATTAACTATGTTTCTTTGCGCAAAAAAAAACTACTACATACTTTTTTTTGTAGTAGTATAGTTTTGAGGAGAAGGCAGTGTAGTAATATTATGGAAGTGGAATAGTATATAGCTATTGATGGAATCAAAGCATGCTTCAGTCACACTGTAGCTTTAAACCCCACCTGTGTCATTAGCATTTTGGCAGGGTCAATCCCATAAGGACCATAAGTGGTCCACTTTTTGAGTGGGAGGCCATTCACTTGTTCTCTTGAAAACACCACTAAGGAATGCGCCCATCTGCAAAGCTTTACTGAAGTGCTGAATGTTACGCTTTTAATTAGAAGTTCTGGTTTCGTACAACGTCATATCCTTTTTAGAAAACTTACTTTGTTGAAGACTTCCAAAAAATTAAGTGAAAACATGCGATTTATACTTAGTATGTGTTGTGTGGGATTTGTATGAACATAATGAAACAAAAAATAACAGGCCCACATAAAAAAAATACACCAAAATGACTGATTATTAAACAAAAGCCCTGAACCGTCTTTAGTACTAGCCGTTGTAAACTGAACTAAACTAATCTGAGCTCTCCAATGGAGAAGTTGCATGTAAACAAACCCCTATAGTCTAGAGAAATGTGACTGTGCTGTTCGTATTAGAAAAGCATCTTCAAAGGATCTTCTGAAAGACCATTGGAGATTAGAGCATGTTTAGACATGCCATGTTGAATGACAGCAGAACAGCAGAACAGAATGCCTAAACAATATACCTGAGAGGGGAAGCCAGGACTGATTACATGCGTGAGGGTGAGTATTAGCTTTTCATATGCGCTTTTATTGAGTAACATTGCCCCGGAGCACAAGAGGCAGATGCTGCTGGCCAAAATCCCAAGACAAGGAAAAGACGAAAAACAATGGCTGACATCTACAGCTGGG